AACAGCGCCAGTCCTCTGCTGCCACGGCCTCAGCCCGCCGCAGCTCCTGCTCCTCCGCCGCCTGCTCCCGCCTGCCTTCGCACCTCCAACCCTCCCCAAAACGCCAGCTCCAGCTCCCCCAGCACCCCCGAGGGGCAGGGGACACAAGACCTGCCGGTGAACTGCGTCATCCAAAAAAGCGGTCGCCCCCAGGCGGGCTGGCAGCAGAAATTACCCTCTTGGACTTCTCTGGGGATCCCTGCGCCTCCCAAGTTCGCAGGCGAGAAGCTCACTGCGTCGCAGCAGAAACCCAAGAGGGTGAAAGAGAGCAAGGATGGCGGCAAAGCGGAGGGCGCGATGGGCACGAGCAAGGAAGAGAAAGACCTCGCGGAAGAAGAAACTGCCAAGCTGAAACATCCCTCCCATGTGGGTTCAGGTGCAGGTACGAGCAGGCCGCTTTTCCTCACCGCTGTTGTGGTAGTCCTGGTGCAAAGGGACCAGCAAAACCAGGGCCTGGGAAGGCCAAGGGTGTGTGTTGTTAATGGCTGTACGTTAAGTGCTTTGCCATTATCCCTACTCCATGGTCGAGGAGAATCAATGCTTTTTCTGCCATTGCATGACATAGTAACTTGGTTTAAAAAACACAAAATTAACAAAACCCAGCAGCTGTTCTGCTGGGACCTGATCTACAGTTAGGTTCGTTTTTAAGAATTCTGTAGTACAAAAATCGTTAGAACAGAGCAGTCTTTAATTGGTTGCTGTTGGGCAGAACCTGGTCAAGTTGAAGAGGTAGGTGGGAGAAAAAAACGGGGAATAGACTTCTTGTTTTTGCCTGACTTCCCTGACAGGTCACTGAAAATTCCTCCACGCTGAACAATCAGCAAGTTTTAAAGTCTGCATGCTGAAAACAAAAACCTGTCACAGGTGTTTATTTTGTGCTAGTTCACTGAAAAACGTAGATCAGGTGTAAATGTCTTTCACGATGTATCACAGCACCAGTTTCATCAAACTCTGCTTTTTTCATGGCCAGACTAAAACCTGCGTGAACAGGCATCTGGTTTACCAGAGTTCTGGTTTGAGCTATGCTGTGAGCTGCAGGATTTGTTACTTCATTTGTTACTGAGGTACAAGTTTGCTGATGACACCAAGCTGGGAG